ATGGACTGCCAAAAGAACCAATAGATCTGTTTTGGAAGAAGTGCAGCCAGAGTGCTCCTTGGAGGCCAAGATAGCCAAACTTCGTCTCTCATACTCCAGACATATTGTCAGGAAGGAACAGTCACTGGAGAAGGATATCATGTTTGAAAAGATAGAGGGTCAGAGGAAAAGAGGAAGACCCCCAACGAGATGGATTGGCCAGGTGGCAGCATCGATGGACTCCTCAAGTGTGGCAACAGCAGTGAGGTTGGCCCAGGATCGGACATTGTTTCGTTCTGCTGTGCATGGGGTCGCTATGAGTCAGTTCCGACTAGATGGCACCTGACAACAACAACGAGTCAAAACCAACTTGATAGCACTTAATAACATTCAAACTTTTGTTTTTAAAATTTTAGTAAAACACACATAACAAAATTTACTAAGCCATTTAAAGTGTACAATTAGTGACGTTTAGTGCGTTCATGATATGGGACTGTCACCTCACCTACATAGTTCCAGAACATTCTTATCACCCCAAAGGGAGACCCCCATTTCCATTAACAGCCCCTGGCAACCATTGAAGAAGTGATCTTAAGTGGGTTTGCCTATTCTGGATGTTAATTGTACACTGTGCCTGGCTTCGTCCTGAACCGCATGCCATCAAAATTTGTCCATGATGCGCATGGATCAGAATTCATTCCTTCTTATGGTCATCTAGCAAGCCTTGTCTCTGGAAAGGGCTTGATTGCCGGGACTGATGTTGGTGAAGACAAGGCTTTGTTCTGGATATCTTCTGGAAACCGAGAAGATGGAGGGATGGGGTGGGGCTGAGGAAAGGTGTCATGGGCATCAGGTTTCCAGTCTGAGGTTCCCAGCAGGATAGAGTGGTTGTGAGAGTCTCCCGCTCCCCTCAACCCCTCAGAGAAGTGGAGAGGAGGCAAGGGCAGAAGTCCAGGGCGTGGGGACCCATGTACCCATTGACAGATGACCACTCTGTCTCTGACCGCCCGCATCCACACCCAGTGTCAAATGTTTGGAATGAAGTACTCCTCCCAGGAGGCCCCTTCCCCCCAAGTCTGCCACACAGCCCATCAGTTGCTGGGGGGGGGAGGGGTCAGAGCCCGGCCAGCTACCCTCTGTTGCTGGGACACAGGGTGACCTTTGTTGCTGTCAACAATGGCCCCAGAGGTCCTTCTGGCAGGAGCCGCTGGAGAGCTGAGGCAGACATGGAGATCCTGAGGCGGCGGGCTGCCCAGCCTTATGTTCCCCGACGGACCCTCGAAACTGACTTCCCCGCACCACTGTACAGGTGAGGCCCGTCCCCAGTCCTCAACCCAACCTGCCTTCTTGTGAGCACCACCCAGCATTGGTGGTGTCCCTTCCCTGCAAACCCAAACGTAGAAGCTCAGCTCCCCACATCTCCGGCCATCTGGCTGATGTTAGGACCCGCAGACAGACCGGGGCTCCTACACCAGCGTTCAGTGCAACATCATTCACAGTAAGGCAAAAAAGCGGGAAGCACCCAGGGGGCCGCCCACAGATAATGAATGGCTACTCACACTGGGTCCAGCCAACAGTGCAATCGGACCCAGCCATACAGAGGAATGGCCCATTGCTCAGTGAGCGACCAGAAGGACAGGCATCACATGATCCCACAGATGTAACTGTTCAGATGGACAATACATGAAGATGGAAGAAGAGTAAATGATTAGGAAGAAAAACATAGAAATGATTGCTTAACCTTTTTATGACCCCTGGAACCTAGGAAGGAGTCTTCAAAAAAGTTTGTGGAAAAAAATTCCATTCTCTTTCAATTCCATTTTTTCCAGTAACTTTTTGAAGTCCCCTCATATGTTGCGCATGAATATTTTCCGCCTTTCGAGTTTCTAAGGAAGCCACTTTCCCCGTTGTAGTATGTGCTGCCACCTGGTGGGAATCTGAGTAACCACAAATCTGAAGAGACAGGCCTCACTCCATCCATCCTACTCACCTCTGGGGATATGCGTGCTACATCACGTCACAATCCTTGTTGTTAAGTGCCATCAAGTAAATTCCAACTCATAATGACCCTGGTTGGCTGCATCCCAGCCCGTGGGCGTGTACTTCCCATCGCGTATCGGTTTCTAAGGAGCTTCTTGGTGGTTTTGAGCCACCAACCTGTGGTTTAGCAGTCCAGTGCTTATCCAATAGTGCCACACACACCAGGACTCCAAAACTCATTTCCCCACACTAAGAGGCCTGGTATTGGTGTGGGTTAGGCATTGGCCTGCTAACTACAGGCTGCTGGTTCAAACCCACCAGCCTCTCTGAAGGAGAAAGATTGACTCTGTCTACTTCTGTAAAAAGGAGCTCTGGTAGCGTAGTGGTTATGAATCGGGCTGTGAACCTTAAGGTCAGTGGTTCGGAACTACCAGCTGCTCCGTGGGAGAAAGATGAGGCTTTCTACTCCCGTAAAGATTTACACCCTTGGAAACCCTGTACAGGGTTGCTATGGGTCGGAACTGACTCAACGGCACTTAACAACAACTTCTGTAAAAAGGAGCTCTGGTAGCGTAGTGGTTACGAATCGGGCTGTGAACCTCAAGGTCAGCAGTTCAGAACTACCAGCTGTTACGAATCGGGCTGTGAACCTCAAGGTCAGCAGTTCGGAACTACCAGCTGTTCCGTGGGAGAAAGATGAGGCTTTCTGCTTCTGTAAAGATTTCGTCTGAAAAATCCTCTATAAGGGTGGCTGTGAATCAGAATTGACTTGGCAGCAGTGAGCTGGGTTTGGGTTTCCTGATACTGAAAACATATGGCATCAACAACAACAAAAAAAAACATCCAGAGCAGACAGTAATTGGGCCTTGAAAGGATCAAGGGTCTCTCTCTCCATCTATCTCTCCAAGACCCCCTGGTAGCTGTGTGAGTTAGGATTTGGGCTGCTAACCACAAAGTCAGCAGTGCAAACCCAGCAGCCATTCTGAGGAAGAAAGATGAGGTTGTTTTGTTCCCGTAAAGGGAGCAATTCTAATCTGTCCTGAGGTCTGTTGTGAGTTTCCGGTCTCTGGGGAGCTGGTGCCCCTTGGCTGCCTCTCCCAACGAAGGGCCTGTTGAAGTTTCCTCTTAGACAAAGGAACACTTCCTACAGCTTCCCTGTTTTGGGGTTTTCACTTCCCTGTGTTTTTCGTTTTAATGGCATCTGGTTTGAGGTTTGCTTTCTGATGTCTTTGGTCTGTTTTCACTTCCCTCTCTACACAGTGACTTCGGTTTTCTTGAGTCTCAGTTCCGTTCCAGCCCCGGGGCCTTTGTACATCCTTATCTTCAGGTTACTGTGGCTCCTTCTTAGTAATCCTTCAATAAGGCCTGCACTCTCCTCCCTCCCGCTGGTCACCCCACTTCCCAGGGGCATGGACACCCACACCCTTCCTGTGTCCCCCTCCTGGGTCATGCCACTCCATAACTCCCCCCTGCCCCCCAAGCCTCTCTTCATGCACCAGAGACCTCCCCAGGCGCTGCGCACTTGGGGGTCTGGGGCAGGCTGGGAGGAAGGGATCTTTGGGCCACAAAGGAGGTGAGGTGGCATGAGGATTTATGCCCCGCCCCTCAAGTGTCAGAGGCGGAGGACAGGACAAGCAAAAAGACTTAAAGGTGTAACAGGAGTCTTGTGGGGCAGGAAGCGAGGGAAGCTATGAGCATCTGCCAGCTATGCAGTGGAGTTAGAAGAAGGGATTACAACCTTGGGAGCTTCTCACCGACCCCACATTCACCCCTCATTGAGGGTGGGTGTGGCCATTCAAGAGGTGAGCTGGCAGAGCCGGCGGCCCCCAGACTCACAGCCTCCTCCCATCTGCCCCCTTAGCGATGACTACCTGTCCTTGGAGGGCCCCCGCTGGGCACCAGCCATCAAGCAGGCCACGCGATGGAAGTACACGCCCATGGGCCGGGATGCAGCCGGCCAGGTGTGGTACACGGGGCTGACTAACTCAGACCCGCGGGACGCGTGGTACACACTGCCACGTGAGCTGGACAGTCCCCACCGCACCGCCTACACACACTGGCACGGCTGTCATAGTCACCGAGAGCATGACCTGCCCTCAGGTGAGTTTCCCATACCTCTGGGCCTGGGGACTACTGGGGAAGGGAACAGACCTAAGGGACCACCATCTCCTATAGCCTACGGTCAGCGCCTGCAGGAGACTTCGTGGTACGACCCCACCATCCCTGCTCAGTCTGAGGCACCCAGAACGCGGTGGGGGAGCCTGCTGTGGAAAGATAGACCCATCCGGGGAAAAGAGTACGGTGAGGGGCCCTCGAATGCTGTCCTGCTCTGCTGCCTCCTCCAGGGAGCCTTCCGGCCTGCCCCAGCTGAAGCAGTTGAGAACAGTCACCTGTGGGGAGTGGGAGGGGAAGCTTGGGGCAGGGAGTGATAAGACCACCCAGGCTGAGTGGGAGGTTCCAGTCCCAAAGGGATCCCCCCAGAACCTATCCCCAGGCAAGTAGGTGACTCCAATCCTCCTCGGCCCCACAGTGCTCAACAGGAACAGATACGGGGTGGAGCCGCTGTCTCAGGTGTACAACTATGTGCCATACCTGTCCCCACCCCAGCGCCCGAGGTACACAACTCAGAACTACCGGAAGTGGAACCTTGAGCCCTACTGCCCCTCCTCCAACCAGCGGCCCCCGCTCACCTACACACCCAGGTACTGATAAAAGTCATGCTGCCTGCCACCATGCCTTTCACTACCTCTCCCTCTTCTGTCTCTCTGCCCTCAGCTGGGCGCTCTCCCCACGTTGCTGGTAGCATTACAGGTGCCCTTCAGTGGCACAGACGGTTCACATCTTGTGACTTCTAACCAAAAGGTTCGAGGTTCATGTTCACCGTAAGGCATCCAGGAAGACCTGGCAATCTATAGAAAAGCATGTGGTGCACAGTTTTCTGACACACAGCTAGGGGGCCACGAATCAGTCAAATCCATGACATCCCGTTTGGGTTTGTTTATGTGTGGGGGTGGGGGAGGGAGGGTTGGTTTTGGAGAGGGCAGGCCTTACAAGTCCCAGGAGAGCAAAAACCAGGAACAGAGCAGACCCCAGTTGTGCCTGCTGCCCTTCCCCCACCAGGTCTCCTGGTGTCCCCAGAAGGAAGGTCCTACCCCACCCCTGACAGACAAGAGTCCAGAGGCCACAGTTCTGACCCACGGAGGGTACCTTTTATTCATGATCTCAAACTCCCCAAGTCCCAGTGGGCCCTCGAGACCCCTGAGCAGTCCCGCTGCCCGCTGCACTTCAGGTCTGGGTCCAGCCCATGACCCCATAGCAGGTCTCCTGGTAGGCTCCTTGGACAATGCCATTCTCAAGGGGGCCCCCTGCCAGCATGTGGGGAGACCCCAGTCCAGACAAGCGGATGGAGGGGTAAGTCTGGGCAGGTCCCGGGGGCCCAGGCTCCATCAGGACCCTCTCACCATCCCCCAGGATCCTGAGAAAGGAGGCCATCCAATCCAGAGGAGGGGTGTCAGGAGCCTGATTAGGTTATCCCACGCACGGGACCAGCCACCAGCATCTTCCCAGTCCTGCTCTCACCAAGCCCTGGGTGACCAGGGTCCCTCTAGATACATCTGCATAAACATGGTGGTGTTTGCATAGAAGCACTGGGGGCGTGGGAGTGTCAAGGCTGAGCTCCAGGGTCCCCTGCAAATAAACGGGGTGATGAGTGAGGGTGGACTCTGTCCCAGCCTCCACCCACAGGCCCACCCATGACGGGAGAGGAGGGGGGGTATGTGGGGGTGGGTGTCGGACTCACAGTTCCGCAGGCGGATGGGCCAGATGAGGAGGCTGCAGAGGGCCAGTGTGGCGGCCACGCTCATTCCGCCGGTCACCATCACCATCACCCAGTGGTAGAAACTCACACAGGCGGCGCAGCAGAGCTCCGAGCTGGGGGAGGGCAGGGAGGCGGAGCGCTGAGCGGGCCCACCTCTCCTCCCCAACTCAACTTCGCCTTCCAATTAAATCCCAAACCTGCCTACTTCTCCCCCTCCTCTGCCTCCACCTCCTCAGGAAGCCCAACCCCTCCAGGCCCCAGGGGTGATCTTTTTGGCATTCCATGAGACAGTGATGTGTATGAGTCCATCAGCTCTGGGAGGTCGGCCTTGGTTTCCCACCTCGGGCTTCTATAAGGGCATGACCTCCAGAAAGCCCAGCTCCAGAGCCTTCCCCATCCCACTTCCTCCGGATATATTTGCATATTGCGTACTCAGGGCTTGGCACACACAATAGTTGAAAAAATAAACTGTCCAAGTAAAGAATGACCAGGTCTCCCAGGGCCACAGCTGGTGAAGCCATGAGACCCAGCAGGGCAAGAACCTTCTGGAAACTGAGTCTCCAGACCTAGAGCCAGCCTGGCATACAGCAGACGCTCAATAATTCCCTAGTGGATGGATAAAGGGATGGACAAATGGGCAGAGAGTTGAACACATTAAAGAATGAATGGATGGCTGGGCAGACGGATGGACAAATATAGAGCCAATGGATAAATGAACCAATTACCAGAGAATGTCAGGGTGACTAGGGGGTTGAACAGGTGATCGAATAAACAAGTGAGTATGAATAGCTGGATGAATTAGTGAGTGAATGAACAAAGAAATGGATAGAGAGTTGTGCAAATTAATGAATGAACAGAAGAATCAATGAATGATGGCTAGATGAATGGATGATTGAACAAATTATTGAAAGAATATACATGAATGAATGAACAAACGAAGGACCCATGAATGAATAGATGGCTGAAAATTAATGAACAGATGAATGAACGGATGGCTGAACAGACAGATGGTTGAACAAATGAATGACAGGATGAATGAACGAACAGATGGACAACAAGGATTGAAGAAATAAATAAATAGACATGTGAATGGAGAACTGGTTGAGGAAATTAAATAAATGGATAGACAAACGAATGACTGGATGAAGAGTGAAATTAACGAGAGAATGAATGAATGAATGGACAAGTGAATTGTTGAGCGAAGGGACAGTGCACTTACACACAGGGGTGCAGGCTCTGGATGACCATGACAGCCAGCCCATTGGCCACCTTATCCGAGAAGCTCATAGCGCCATACACGAAGGCTCCGCTTTGCTGTGGGGAAACAGGCAGGGTGGTTGGCACCCAGGATGCCGCTCAGGACCACCCCCCTCCTGCTCTCCAGCCCTACCGTGTGGGGACCGATGAGGTCAGCTGTCATGGCCAGGGAGGTGATGAGGATGGTGGCGCAGCCTGCACCGAGCAGCGCAGCCGCCCCGTACACTGCTGTGCCCAGCCCACTGACCAGTGCCACCCAGGCAGCAAAGGTGAGGATGATGAGGAGGCCGGTGAAGTAGGTCAACTGCAGGCAGAGCAGCCCCGTTTCAAACCCAGCACCTCCCCTCCCTCAGCAGAGAGGGGGCTGAGGCAGATACCCCCCCAGGGGTCCCCAAGACCTGAGCTCAGGGAATCCAAGATCCAAAGGCCATTGGGGTTCTCAGAGCTCTGTAGAACCAACCAGAGTTCTAGAGGGTGCTGTCATATGGTAGCCACTAGGCACCCGTAGGAACACGGTGGCTCTGTAAGATAAGCACTGGACAGAGGTTCGAGCCCACCAGCTGCTCCATAGGAGAAAGATGAGGCTTTCTGTTCCCGCAAAGATTTACAGCCTTGGAAACCCTCTACAGGGGCGCTGTGAGTCCGAACGAACTCAATGGCACCTAAAACAACAGAACAAGCCACCCATGGTTAACTGTTGTTTCTGAACTGCCATCGATCTGATTCCGACCCATAGCGATCCTGTATAGGGTTTCCAAGGAGCAGCTGGTGAACTTGAACCACCAACCTTGCAGTTCAAATGGCTTTGCTGTCTGATGCATTAGCCCACAGCGCCATCCCAGGACTCCACGGTTAACTGTAAACAAACACAAGCTAATTCATAAACTTGCTGTTGGCGGTCCAGTTGGTTCTGATTCATCGTGACCCCCCTGTGACAGAGCAGAACTGCCCCCCAGGATCTCCTAGGCTGTGATCTTTGTGGGAGCAGATCGCCAGGTCTTTCTCCCGAGGAGCTGGGTGCTTCAAACCGCTCACCCTTCAGTTAGCAGCTAAGCACCACAGGGTTACCAAACCTAAACTCGAATCCTCTGCTATTGAGTGGATTCACACTCAGAGTCACCCAACAGTAGACCTGCCTCACAGGGTTCCCAGGGCTAGACATGTGCATGGAAGTTCACTACCACGCTGCTGTGTTTGAACTGCCAACCTTCCGGTTAGCAGCCGAGTGTATAATTCATTACGTCACCAGGATTCCTTTATTCATCAGATGATGATTTGTAATGGAGAACTCAGCCCCCTCAGGGGCCCCAGTCCTATCTGAAGTGATGCATAGTGGTTACCAATCGGGCTGCAAACCTTAAGGTCAGCAGTTCGAACCTACCATCTGATCCTCGGGAGAAAGATGAGGCTTTCTGCTCCCATAAAGATTTACAGCCTCGGAAACCCTGTACAGGGTCGTTATGAGTCGGAACCGACTCCACGGCACACAGCCACCATCGTATTGAAGGGACTCCTGATGTGACACTATAGGAGAGGCACTGGACTGCGAACCATCAGGTCGGCAGTTCAAACCAACCAGTCACTCCTCAGAAACCCTATAAAAGGTTGCTATGAGTCGGAACTGACACCATGCCATTTTACAACAAACACAGCAACCGTACTGAACAAAGAATATACGTCAATCATGCCAGAAGGTTCTAGAACTCTGCAGGCCCAGAAGTCTGAGGACCCATGAGGCTAGAACTCTACACTCTAGAAGTTACTGGGGTCTGGGATCCCCAGGTCACTGGGTCTGACTTTGGTTGCAGAAGTCCCCCCGTTGACCCCATACTCACGTTCCTCCCGATCCATTTGTTGATCGTTTTCATGAGGAATGAGGAGACGAAACCACTGAGGTACATCACTAGGGGAATGGTCGCAATGAACTTCTGTAGTGACACAACCAGGGATGGGCATTTCAGTAAAGGCTGGCAGGGAGGGATCAGCCCCACCCCTCATTCCCCCAGCCCACCTCCACCCAACCTACCTTGGGCAGGTGGAGGGAGTAGGTGAGATACATTGCCATGTATGTCTGGGACAGGTTCACAATGAGCCTGGTGCTCATATACAGCATGCCCACCTGTGAGTAGGTAGAGGAAACACCCAGGGATCAAGTGAGGGCCCTTAGGTAGAAACCCTGGATTAGAACCCAAGGCCCTCCTCTATTCCAGCCAGCAGAGGGTGCTGTAGAAGAAACCTGGGCTTAGAGGCAGGGCCCTCCTCCATTCCCGCCAGCAGAGGTCGCTGAAAGAGAAGCTAGCTGCAGGGAATGAATGCAAATAGGTTTCATCAAGCTGAGCTAGGATCGATTAGTAGTGACTTTCTAGTTGATCAGGCAGGGAAAAGCACAATTATCTATTTGTAATGTCTGCTCTGGGGGTGGAATGCAGAAAGAGGTACGTTTGCCATCCCTCCTCACTTCCAGGACCTAGGGGGAGTGGAACATTGATTCCAGGCCTCTATGCCCCCTCTCACCAATGTACCTGATAAAAGGCTGGCTCTCGAAGCCAGTGTTTCCAACGTAGCAGGGGCCTGGCTGTGGGAGTAATTAGAGGACTGTGTTCATTGGGCTCTTCCGGCTGCCGTTGGCGCCCCTCCTTGGTGCCCAGGTGGAATAGCAATGAGAAGATGGCTCCGATGCCCACCACTAACAGGGAAAGGTTCTGGGAACCCAGGAAAAAAAAGTCAGTGGTGGTGTGAGCCCCGAGTATGGGGACTTTGAGGTGTGTTCCTGACCCCAGCTCACCCGGAATACTGGCACATCTTGGGCCCCCAGCTGGTCACTGAGTTCCTGGGTGGGCCCCGTGTGTGGGGAACCTTGCAGGTGGAGCAGAAGCCAGGCAGCACCGTAGACAGTGATGTTGGCCACCACAGTGAAGGCGTACCTGGTGAGGGACAAGGGGAAACCTCAGCCCAGCTTGCTCGGGAAACCAAGTGGCCACTTCCTCCTCAAGTAGCCACAAATGGTCACAGAGGTTGTGGTACTGGGGGGTGGGGTGGGGAGAGACATGGCTGATTGTTGATTTCAGCTGCCCACACATGGGGGGGGGGAGCTGGGGGAAGACTCAGTTTCTCTAATATGCCCACGACCTGGGAATACACAACTCTGCCCCAAGATTTCACCCATAACCTCCAACTGCCCTCCGGGTTCGGGTGTGGAGAGATTGCCTCAGAATACTTGGAAGCCAAAATTTTACGATTCTTGGTTCTCTTATCTTGGGCTTCTACAGGTGAAACACCATTGCAGTGACTCAGTTTCCCTTTCTGGAAGTCAAAGTGAAGCGCCTCCATGTAGCAAGCTCCCCAGAACTTAGCGTCAGCTGATCTGACCTGACCCCCAAGAGCCGAGGCCCCAAGGGCCTCCCAGGATTGGGCAACTTCTACCGTTAGGGCCCAGGCCTTTCAGGAACACGATGGGGAACTCAGAGGCACGGTGGGGGCAAAGAGGCTGAACTGGAGGCCGGGTGAGGTCCGATGAAGTGGCCACTGTAACGGCAAGGGTGCTAACACACCCAGCTCACATTGACATTTGAAACTAGGACTTGGCATCAAAATTTGCCTGGTCCTGCATGTTCCCGCCAATGACACTCAGCCTTTGCATGTGCCCTGGGCATGCCCCGCCTCCGGAAGCGGAGGTCAGAACAGTCCCCAACTCCATGGAGTTCATCATGTCAAGCATGCAGAGCAGGGAGGGGCACACACACACACACACACACACACAGGCCGACCTCCGGGAGAGAGCAAGGGCCCCGCGGCCCACAAGTAGGCAGAGCTCGGAGAGAGAGTAAGTTTGGCTCCACACCTCAACAATGAGAGATCTCAATAAAGTGAATTTTAAAAATTATTCTGTTTCCCAGTGCATCGAAATCAATGGAGGATAAGCACTGGATTGCTAAGTGCAAGGCTGGCCATTCAAACTCACCAGCCACTCCTTGGGTTGCTGAGTTGAACCGACTCCCAGAACTTAACAACAAACATTAAGACGTATTCTCAGGAGGGACCGGTCCCTAGAGAAGGTCATGCTTGGTAAAGTGGAGGGTCAGCGAAAAAGGGAAAGACCCCCAATGAGATGAACTGACAGGGTAGCAACATCAAGGATTCAAACATGATTGTGAGACTGGCGCAGAACCGGGCACTATTTCGTTCTACAGTACGTAGGGTGACTATGAGTTGGAATCCTTATGACGGCACCTAACATTAACAATACTGTTATGAAGAAGTAGCTCAGGAATGACGAAAACGGGGCACAGAGACACGAAGTGAGCACGTGGTATTGAGAAATGGCACCAAGAGACTTGCTGGAAACAAGATTGCCACAAATGTATAAAAACCACCCTATCTGCAAAGCGCAAGGAGCTCTGGTAGCGTAGTGGTTACGAATCGGGGTGTGAAGTTTAAAGTCAGCAGTTCGAAACTACCAGCTGTTCCGTGGGAGAAAGATGAGACGTTCTGCTTCCGTAAAGATTTACAGCCTCGGAAACCCTGTACAGGGTCGCTATGAGTCAGTTCCGACTCCAGGGCACATCACCACCACCACCATCATCTGCAAAGTGCAGCGAAGCAATGCACAGTTAGAAAAGCTGTACCCGTAAGTGCCCAGCACGTACATCGTCTGATTGACAAGCATGACCTTTAGTGCTTCAAAATTAATGGATCAGCCAGATCATCCGTACTGCAGCCACCACGTGTGGGGCGCACAACTCTAATTTGAGAACGCTCTGAAGATTCCAGTCTGCCCCACCCCCAAAAAACAGACATTGTCTTAGCCCCTCCCCTTGTGGGCGGGACCTGTAAATATCACCGGATGTCACCAGCGATCAGTGACATTCTGTGGCAAAGGAAAAAGGGATTTTACAGCCTGCAGTATGGATTACACCCCAACATAAAGAACACAGAAACCCTCACAGCTGGACCAATAAGCAACATCATGGCATAGAGAACAGACTGAAGTTGTCAAGGATTTCATTAGAGCTACAATCAACATCCATGGAAGAAGCAGTCAAGAAATTAAACAGTATACTGCATCAGGCAAATCCGCTACAAAAAGACCTCTACTCTCTTTAAGGTATTAAAGAGCAAAGATATCACCTGGAGGGTTAAGGTGAACCTGAGCCAACTCTTGGTATTTTCAGTCGCTTCAGACTGCATGTGAAAGCCACACAATGAATAAAGAATATCAAACAATTGATGGAGGCCTTTGAAATATGGAGTTAAATGTGCCATGGACTGCCAGAAGAAACAAATCTGTCTTGGGAGAGGTACAGCCAGAATGCTCCTTAAAAACAGGATGGTGGACTTTATCTCAAGTACGTTGGACATTTTATCAGAAAGGACATCATGCTTGGTAAAGTAGAGGGATGCCAAAAAAGAGGAAGACTTTAAAGGACAAGGACCCACAGTGATTATTACAATGGGCTCCCACAGGAACGATGGTGAGGATTATAGGAACCAGGAGGAACCAATTCAGTGGTAACTAACCACTATCTGTTTAACTTTGAGTTAATATAAAGGAGATTATTTGGGGTGGGTCTGATCTAATCAGGCGATCCTATGAAAGGGAGCTTGTTATTGTCAGTTACCGTGGAATGGACTCCAGCTCATGAGGACCCTGTATCGACAGAACCAAACGCTGCCCAGTCCTGTGCCATCCTGCTGCTATGCTTAAACCCACTGCTGCTGTCACTGTGTCCACCCATCTCCACTCAGGAAGACCCTATATCAACAGAAGGACACACAGCCAGTCTTGTACCAGCTTCTTAATCGGTGGTCTGCTCAAGCCCACAGTTTCAGCTATTGTGTATTTTGAGTGCCTTCCAGCCTAGGGGCTCATCTTCCAGCGACAGAGCTGAGACACACATGGTTTTTGCATCAGACGATTTTTGGAAGTAGCTTGCCACACCTTTCTCTCCTAGTCTGTCTTAATCTGGAAACTGTTGAAACCTGTCAGCCATAGATAACCCCAGCGGCATAGTTTCCAACCCCGCAGCAACATGCCAGCCACCACAGGATGGCAAACTGAAAGAGGGACCGGAAAACAGGCTTAGATCACATCATATGGCAAAAGTAAAGGGATTCTCCAGCTGCAACTGAGATCTCTGATCCGTCTGACTTTGAGTTAATCATCCTGGGTGAGCCTGATGTAATCAGGCGATCCCTGAGATTACAGAGTCTCTGCCGTCTTTGAAGCCATAAGGAAACCCCTTCTGCCAATGACGACATGAACATGGACAAGGTGGGACCCCAACCCTCAAAGAAGAATCCAGTCACAGCTGACACCTTGGGACGGACCCTGGAGCAGAGAATGCAGCCCAGCTGCACTGTGAGATCATCCAGTGTGCTGTTCTCAGCTGCTAAGCTTTGGGGGGATTTGTAACACACTGTCACACAGACCACCATAGCTGGAGATGGTGGCCTGGGTGTGTTGATGCGCTACCTGAGAGCCGTAAGCTCCACCTTCTCGTGGTCGTTGTTGACGAGCTCCGGGATGAGGCTCAGGTGCGCAATCTGCGTGGCAGCCCAGCCGAACTGGAAGACCACGATGAAGGGGCTGTAGTAGAGCAGAGCCACCCACTCAGGTGTGGCGGCGCCGCAGCCCAGGCAGGGGCTGAAGATGAAGGGGAAGGAGAGCAGGACGCAGACAGTGCCTGTGGAGAGGCAGATGAGGGGAGGGTCACTGCAAGGAGGGGTGGGGGTGGGGAAAGCCAAGGCTAAGGGCTGCAGACTCCCCTAAAGTCACACCGGAGGGTCGGGGTCAGCAGCTCTAGCCTTCCAGGTGTATGTACGGTGTCCATGACAAATGGGGAAACTGAGGCACCTATTTTTTGGGGTTTTTTTTGGAGTCCCTCCGAGATCATGCTGCAAAGTAAAGCAGAGAAATGAGGTTCCCACATACCAGTCCAGAGGTTCCCGGGGTACACACTGCTTGTATAAGGAGCCCTGGTGGCACAATGGTTAAGCACTGAGCTGCTGTTCACACCCACCATTGGCTCTGTGGAAGAAAGACCTGGCCATCCGCTCCCACAGAAAGCAGTCTAGGAGACCCAATGGGGACAGTTCCATTCTGTCACACTCGCTGTGAGTCGGAATCGACCCCACGGCACACAACACACGCCTGGTATCAGGTGGAAAACCCAAGGGACAGAGTTTGTTTTGTTTAGGTAGAGGGGAGAGAGGCAATGCCTACACACACCAGTCTAGGGTTTCCTGGGGTACACACCCCAGGACGGTTTGCATTAGGCAAATCTTCAAAAAAAAAAACGTCTTTAATATGTTCAAGAGTGAAGGTACCTGTTTGAGGACTACAGTGCGCCAGACCCAAGCCATGGTATTTTCAACCACCTAATAAGATTGGGAAAGTTGGACAATGAATCAATGCATTTAAATTATGGTGTTGGAGAAGAATATTAAAAGTACCAGACTGTCTGCCAGAAGAACACATCTGTCTTGGAAGAGGCACAGCCAGAATGCTCTTTAGAAACCAGAATTGCGCAAATTTGTCTCTCATACTTGGCACACGTCCCCACAGAAGGAAATCATGCTTGGTAAAGTGGAGGGTTAGTGAAACAGAGGAAGACCCCCTAACAAGATGGACGGGCACTGTGGCAACAGCAATGGACTCAAACGTTAACAATTGAGAAGGTGGCACAGGACCGGAAAATGTCTCCTTCTGTTGTGTATGGGATCACTCCAAGTAGGAACCGGATGGACAGCACCTACCACCACCAACAACACTCCGCTGTGTCAGGTGGGAAATGAGGTCCCTCTGAGCTCAAACATCACAATGAGGCACCATCCACACACTGCCACGGAGTCGATTCCGACTCATAGCAATCCCACATAGGGTTTCCAAGGCTGTAAAGACCCAGGGAGCAGCTGGTGAGTTGGAAGAGCTGGATGCGAGACACACAGGGCAAGAACTTGGCCTCCCCTCACCAGCCCAGGGTTCCTAGAGGTGGTCCCTTGGGGAAACTGAGGCCATCAGGGCCTTCTGAGGTCTGCCCACCATACAGGCACCATGTGCACCCCCAACTTCCCTTCTCAATTTGCCCAACGAAGGAGGCCTAGCTCTCTGGTAAGCTGCCAGCTGAGAACAGGGCCTCTCTTTCTTGGACACTGTCCGAGTCCCTGAGGACAAAAACAATACAAACAACCCACTGTCTGCAAGTCCATTCTGACTCACAGTGAGGCTACAGCAGAGAATTGCTCCTTACAGTTTCTGAAACTCAGTGTTTAAGGGAGCACACGATCACATCTTTCCCTCTCAGAGCAAAACTACTGAACTTGTGGTTAGCAGGCCAACGTGTGCCACCAGAAACGCTTTCCCTGGGGACAGAGACTGCAACCCACACCAGCTCCCTCACTCCTTTTACTCAGAATAAAAGCAAGATTTTAGAACCCAAGCTCCTCCCCTCTGCCGTGCACAGCCCGCCCCTTCTCCTCCCTCCTTCCCTCCCTCCCTCGGCTCCAGGCACGCCAGCCTCCTAGCTGTTCCTCCAACTCTCCAGGCCCCGTCCTGCCTCCGGGCCTTTGCAGGGCTGTGCCCTCTGCCTGAAATGCCTCCCCCATGACTTAGCAAAGTTAACTCCTCATCCCTCAGTCTCGGTTCCAACATCATTTCCTCAAAGACGCCTTCCCTGCTGCCTCCCGGCTTCTCCAGCCTCGGCCAGCAGCGCCCCTCTCTGGTGTCTAGGTGGAACAGCAGGGTGGTCAGCTACCACCGGGGAAAATTTCTACCCGGGACCCTGCTTCCTTAGCCTCTCAGCCTTTGGCTGTTTATTTGCTTGCTTTCAGCCTGCTTCCTCATCACTGTGGCATTCTGAGTCTCCAGAATAAACCGGGCACACCAATAGCTTGTGAGTGAGTGATTAGCAATAACAATGGCCCTAAGGTGGAGGAAAGGAGCTCTGGTAGCGTAGTGGTTACGAATCGGGCTGCGAACCTTAAGACCAGCAGTTCGAAACTACCAGCCGCTCCGCGGGAGAAAGATGAGGCGTTCTACTCCCGTAAAGATTTACAGCCTCGGAAACCCTGTATAGGGTCGCTATGGGTTGGAAACGACTCGACGGCACTTAACAACAACCACAAGGTGGAGGAATCCTGGTGTGGCGCTGTGGGTTAATGCACCAGACTGCAAAACCATTTGAACTGCAAGGTTGGCGGTTCAAGCTCACCAGCTGCTCCTTGGAAACCCTATACAGGGTCGCTATGGGTTAGAACCGACTCGATGGCACTTAACAACAACAAGGTGGTGGTTGTAGGTAGCTAAGTGCCATCGAGTAGTGTTATTACTCCATTTTCCAGATGAGGAAACTGAGGTAGTCTAGTGAGTGAGATGGAATTTGAGAGAGAGGCCAAGCTCGGAGTGACTTCATCACCCAGCTCCGGGGACTGCACTGTAGTCTTGTGACTGGGAAGTAAAAACCGGAACTGCCCTTGATTCTCTGGAATTGGTGGCCAGCTGAAAGGGCCCCTGGGTGGAGATTCCTGGGATTGAAGCTGTGGACTCTGCTCCCGGAACTGTGGCTGGGTTAACCATTGGTGGACCTGCCTGGGCAGCTGACTTTGGCAGATTCCACCAAGTAAAGGGGAGCAGGCACAGGATTAATAGTTCAGATGTGAAAGTTGAAGTTCCTGCTTCTGCCAGCCTCAGAGCCATGACCTTATCAGTCTTCACACAAGCTCCTTTCATTACCTGGAATGCTCTCTGCTCCTCTTGCCCAATATACTCCTACTCATCCTTCAAAACCCCAAACCTAATGCCCCCTCCCCAGGGAAACTTCTCCTCCAGAGCTCTAGTTTTCCCTTCTGAAGCCCACTCTCACCTTTTGAACCCCATAGGAGTTGTCTGTGTCTGGGGGCCAGGCCCTCTCTGGGTTCCTGAGTCACCCTACCACCCACAGACTCAGGATTAAAATAGAGAAGTGGGCTCTATTGCTTGGGTGACCTTTCCTCAGATCACCTTATCAGATGATCTTGGCTTCCTCTTTCCACAGACCCTTCTGGGCCTCCCCACCACCTACTCCATGGGGCTGGTGGCTGGTGGGCTAGGGGAGAGCCAGTGGGGTGAGGGGAACAAGTGCCTGGTCCCTAAGCCCTAAACACAAAAGTGTTCCCTCATCCCACCCCTACTACGGGCCTCAGCCGCCTCCTCTGGGGTCAGGCAGGGCCCTCTCTGAGCCTCAGGCCACCCACCTATGAAAGATGCACACAGGTAGGGTCTACTCACCACAGGGCCTTTGCACCTGTCAGACCACCATTCCATGGCCATAGGGTGACTTCACTCTAGGTAAGAGTCCTCTCCCCTTCCCCCTCAAAATTGATTTTCTTTGTCAATGACTTTGTTAGGTATGGGCCAGTGATTTTGACGCATGGCAACCTCATGTGACAAGTAGGACTGCCTCACAGGGTTTTCTTAGTTATCTTTACAGGAGCGGATCACCTGGGTTTTCGCCCATGGAATCGTTGGGTAAGTTCGAACTGATGTCTTTTCAGTTAGCAGCACTTAAGTTGTTTGTGCCACCAGGGCTCCTTATGAATGGTTTTACCCAAGTGTTATGACTAAAGCTGCATTTGAGACTCAGGAGGGGAAGCAGAGAGAAGAAGAATGTCCATTTTTCAGATAGGCAGTCCAGGTCAGAGGTCCACACCCCAGCCTCTCCCTGTGTCCCTCCCTGGCTGCCCATGGCCTAAAATGACCCAAGCCAGCTGAGTGTCCCCAGGTCCTTGGAAACCAGAATCAATATCCAGCTCCCATGTTATGGCTCCTCAGGGCCAGCGACCCTGGGGGGGTGGGGGGTGGGTGGAGAGGAGAGCTACATCTTACAAAACATCTTCAGAAGGTCAACAGACGGCCAGCTCCCTCTGTTCTCGCCCCCAAGGACAAAAAGGCACAGCAGCCCAGAATTTTCAGAGTGGGTGGAATTTCTGGCTTTCTTCAGAGTGCCAGGGCAACCTCGGATGATGCCAGGATGCGGGTGGCAGTCTGACCCAGGGGAAGAGCAGCCGAGGGCCAGGGCGAGGGTTAATCAGTATGCTCAGGCAGGGTGGGAGGCGGGCCCTGCGCCCTTATGGGTGTGCACTGGGATCTGATCACCTTCGTTCCCCACCAGCCCTCTAGTCTGTGCCCCATTTTTACCTACACACCCCCATCTCTGCTCAGTCAGACAGCTGGGAGTCAGGTTATAGATACCCCACCCCTCTGTCTCCACAAATCTCTGCTTCCCAAGCAGCACCCCCAAACCCTTGCTGGTGACGTGATATAAAATACAGAGGAATTCTCTGGGGAAACAGACAGACAGACAGAGAGGGCTAGTAACGATCTGCCAGCTAGTTAGGAGAGGCAGGCCAGACCAGACAGACTGGGGTCAGACACACAACAGAGAGGTCAGATGGAGGGACTATAGGTCAGAGGGCAGAACGGGGAGGAAGGCTGGGGACTAGGGTCACAGAGGAGGGCGCTGAAGCAGACAGGGATGTGTGGGGTTGGGACAGAGAGAGTGTTAGGCTTGGGCCCTGAGCAGACAGACAGACAGAAAGGGGAGGTTCAGGCCATGGGCAGAAGGGGCACTGGGATAAGCAAGACAGGGGTGTGTTGGGGTTGGGACAGGCAGAAGGGATTCTATCTAGGTCAGACAGACAGAGCGGGGAGGCTCCGACCATGGGCAGACAGACAGGGGTCTATCGAGGTGGGGGAGCTTACCGACCAGGTGCCAGGTCTTGCGCGGGCCGCAGCGGGCGCAGTGACCGGCGGCGCGGTCAGCCTCGTAGCCCACGAGAGGTGTGCACAGCCCGTCGGCCACTTGGCCGAGCAGCAGCAGCAGGCCGGCGCCGCGCGAGCTGTAGGCGCGCACCGAGTGCAGGTAGAGCAGCAGGTAGGTGAACCACATGGACGCGCACAGGTCGTTGAGGAAGTGGCCCACGGCGTAGCTGAGCCGCGCGACCAGGGGCAGTGCCCGCGGGGCCGCCGCCGCCGCCGCCGGGGGCCCGGGACCCATGAAGCCGGGCTCAGGGAGCGCCTCACACCCGGGGGGACTCTCCAACCCAGTCTGGGCGCGGGGACTCTCGGGCAGGATCGTCTGGGGGGTCGCTGAGGACCCCCTAGCCAGGCTGATCACTCCGCGATGAGTCCACACTGGGCCGGGTCTCTGAGCGGGTCGCCCCTCAGCCTCCGGAAGGCCCTGCGACCCCGGGGCTCACCAACCCGGCGACTGCGGCCCGGACTGGGCGCGGCGGAGGGAAATCCCGGGACCGGCGGCCGCATCCTCCAATCCGGACCGCGTGCGGGGACTCAAAGACCAATCATCAGTTAGGGGGTGTGGTCTAGGGGTTAGCCCGGCCTCCACCCCGGTGCCGGCGGGGTCGCGGGGTCCTAGCGTTCGCAGGTGCCAGAACCCCAGACCCAGGTGGGAGACCAAACCCAGATCTCTAATACCAGGCTCGCAGGCCGTTTTCTGAAGCCCGACGTGGGCCGGCGAGGGAAGGGTGCGATGGGAAAGGGGCGGGAGTGGGGGGGGTCTGAGTTGGAAGATTCAGTAGGGATGCCAAGAGGCTGAATTAGTACCAATTAATTAGTATTAACGATAATTATACGATAATGACTATAGTAACACCAACCGGCATTTAATGAATGCTGGCGGTGCCAGGCGCCCCACGTGGATGACCTCATCCCAGCCTGGCAGAAGCCCCAAGAGGCGGCGCCCCACTTCAACCCATTTAAGATCTGTTCACAGGTCCAGAGAGGGGAATCGACTTACCTAAGACCACAGAGTGAGTCATTAGCTTATGATTCTGTTCTCTAAGTTCCCTCCCCGACCTGGGTCAGTATACTGACTTCAGAGGTTTCAAGTTCCTCCAATGGGCCACCTGGTGCCCTCTCCATAACCCCTCCAGCCTTGGCTTTCAAAACTGACACTCTTCTGCCAGATCTATAAGGTCCGGTCCAGACCCAGCCCCATCCCCTCCCAGTACAAGTCCCTTAACTTCCTAGAGCCTCAGTTTCCCCAGTTCTAAAATGGGTATAATATATGTCGTTTCTGGGTGCCATTGAGTCTATTTCAACTCATAGAGACCCCAGGTAACTGAGCAGTTCTGCCCCATAGGGTTTTTGAGACTGTCATCTTTACTTGAATTGGCACTGTAAGATAAGCACTGGACTGTAACCACAAGATAGGCAGTTCAAACCCACTAACTGCACCTCAAGAGAAAGATGAGGGTGTCTGCTCCCTTAAAGACTGTTGTTGTTATGTGCTGTGGAGTCAGTTCCAACTCATAGCGACCCTGTAGATCTTTACGGGAGCAGAAAGCCTCATCTTTCTCCCACGGAACTGCTGGTAGTTTCGAACTGTTGACCTTGAGGTTTGCAGCCCTATTTGTAACCACTATGCCAACCTCTGAAATCCTATGCACGGTTGTTATGAGTTGGAATTGACTTGATGGCAGTGGGTTTTTTCATCTTTATGGGAGCCGATTGCTAGACCTTTCTTTAGCTGGGTGGGTTCCAACCAACAACCTTTCCACTAATAGTCAAATGCGTAATTGTTTGTGCCACTCAGGCACTCAGAGTCTCCTGTCATTACTGAGTCAATTTGGACTCATCACGACCTTATAGAACAGAATAAAACTTCCCCATAAGGTTTCCAAGACTGTACATGTTTTGTTTTGTTTTTAAGGTTTTTATTGTGGATTGAGTGAAAGTTTTCAGGGCACATCATCGGTTTCACATTCAAACATTCATATACCTTGTTTCATTACATTGATTATAATCCCCTCCACATACCATCAGTTAACAGAGTTTCTCTCTATCCTCTTTAGCTTTTTTTTGCGGGGGGAAAAACTTTGCCTTTTTGGAATTTACAGTCTCGGCTTTTAGGGAAGGTTTTTACATTTATCTGTGGGTATCCAGGGCTCATGTATGGAATTACTAACCAGCATATCTGAATAATCAGATAAGGGACAGTTTGCTATGTCTGCTAGGTGGTGTACATGGTTTTTATGGAAACAAACTGCGACGTCTGTCACTCACAGAGCGACTAGTGGGTTTGAACCTCCAACCTTTCAGTGAGCAGGTGACGGCTTCACCATTGTGCCACCAGAGCCCCTTATGTGTTAGCTTTGAATAGTCTCTTGGAGGAAACCTCGGCAATAGCCCTACATTAGGTATCACTCTGGGTGCCCATGTACCCTAGGGGATCCCCATTATAACCCTGATATCTGCCCCACTCCAGCAGCTGTAATCACCTGGTTTTGTGTGTCCTCCACACTGGAGTATGACTGGGTCTGCCTGGTCCCCGGCAATGCCTAGCACATAGTATGAAGTCATTTCCTGTCTGTCTAATGATTGAGTGGTGGAAATCCAAGCAAAGAATCAGAAACACAAGAAACTGGGAGACGGACAGGAATCCAGTCAGACACCTGAGGTTCCGGCAACTGATAAAGTACACAGCCCCAGGCCCCCACACTGATGTGGACCACCCATCCCCAACACCCACGTTTGCTGTTGTAAAATTGTGAATTGAGTGAAAGTCTCCAGAACAGATCAGTCTCACTTTCAACAAAGCATATACATTACGATTGCAGTCCCCTCTATGTATCACCAGTTAACAGTATTTTCCTTTATTTGCTTTAACTCTGTACTCCCCTGTGCCTTCTGATACCTTCATCTTTCCTCTGCCAACCTCCCTCTTGTTGCATATTGCCTTCCCCATCACCCAAGTTAGCATGTGTTTACCCTCTACCCAGTGAATACTTTTCCCTTCCCTCCAACCCCTGGTAACCATCATAGAACGTTTCTTTATTAAAAAAAACCTTTTTTAACTTTTTATATCAGTGGAGTGGATTCCAACTCATAGCTGCCCTGTATAGGGTTGCTAAGAAACAGCTAGTGGGTTTGAACCACCAACCTTGAAGTTAACAGTCCAGTGCTTATCCTACAAGGCCACACCAGGACTCCAGTGTACAACACTGTTCTCATACAATAGTTGTCATTTTGTGATTGACTAATTTCATTCAGCACAATGTCCTCCAAGTTCATCTGTGTTATGACGTGCTCCACAGATTCGTTGGTATTCTTCCGTGTTACATAGTATTGTCCGGATGTACCAACGTTTGTTTAAACGTTCTTTGGTTGATGGGCATTTAGACTGTCTCCAGTTTTTTGCTATATCCAATACCCACCCTTTCATTGCAAGGGATCTGAAAATGAGTGAGCAGTCTAAAAAAATCCATGTCATACTGTATGATTCAACTATGTGACATTCTAGAGAAGTGGAAAAGGCCAACTTCTAGAAGCAAAAAGAAGCTAATTGGTTGCCAGGGGATTGGGGCAGGGGAGGAGGAAGAAGGGGCCAGGGCATTTTTAGGGCAGTGACACTATTCTGCATGATACTGCTGTCATGGGGG